CTCTCAACAGTTTGAACCAGCTTTCCTTCCTGCTTTGACTGCAGCTGTGTTTGACACAGGAAGACATTATTACATTCTTCATGATTATACTTTATTATTTTTGGGGGAGGAGCAGCTTTAAACCTTCACGTGATTCAAGTCAACTCAACAAATCAATCTGAACGATCACAGGTGAGAAAAACGTCTGTAGACAAAATAAAATAAAACCCAACATTCAATCCACAACAAGATTAAAAACATGATTCTCCCAAATCACCAAGAGGTGCACATTAACCACCACAATATATCGTCTTGATGCATTCTCAATCATCCAGGTAAGTAAATCTCCAAAAGTTGATTGTGTTCATCTGGACGTAGCGTTTTGTGGGAGAACGTCGTCACTCATCCAGGTGACTTCTTCAGTCTCAGCTGACTGCAGGTTTCAATCTTATAAACAGGACATTTGCATAATGACTGAAACCAGCCCACTGATGGAACAATGGGCTGGAAGGTCAGTTCCTTAATCTTAATTATGGTCAAAGGAGCTTGCAAAGAAAAGCGTCTGGACTTCTTTAACTTGTGAAGTCCAGACACTTTTCTTTGCAAGCTCCTTTGACTACGATGACCTGGATGACTGAGAACCTTCACAGACAATCATAATTATGCAAATTCTCATGACCATTGATCAACAATCACTGACCAAAACCCACTTTGGGTTTGGGTTTTGGTCTTGGCTCCCCGAGAAGCCTCCAGTTAATCCAAAATGCTGCAGTACTGACAGGGCTTAGTTGTTGTTCCTAGAGTATTTAAAAGTAGAATGGGAGGCAGAGCCTTGAGTTTTCAGTGTCACGGCAGAAGACACTTGAGGCTGGCTGGGTTCTCCTAAACCCCCAGCAGACGAAACATGAGGCTGGCTGGGTTCTCCCGAACCCCCAGCAGACGAAACATGAGGCTGGACGGGCTCCTCGGGCCCCCCAGCTGAGATTGACGGCTGAATGGGTCCCTCTGGTCCTCCAGCAGAGGACAGGGGTAGAGGGGCGGACTCACTGGAGCTCTCAGCAGGGGATGACGGCTGAGACTGCTCAGTAAAGTCCTCTAATGAAGCCACTGGTGCTAGCATCTCGACCTCTAGAGGTCCAGAGGTGGCTGGTGACTGGCACCCAGCCTCTGGGGAGGCCCTAGAGGGAGCAACTGTCTCTGAGATGGCCAGTTTAACTGAACCAGTTAAAGTCTGTGTGAAGTGTGTTCCCTGCTTGTAATGAGGCTGTGAGGATAAAGGCTGGGTAAGTGAGTGGACAGGCTGCTGAACTGGTGGCAACTGAGCTACAGGTAGCAAAGTAGTAACAGGTGGTGGAGTGGCTGGCTGAACTGATAAGGCTGATGAATCTCTTGCCAACTGGGCTATTGACTGGGCTATGGAATGTAACATGGTGTCTACTGGGTCTGACTGTGACTGTAATGGAGGTGATGATTGAGTGGCTGACTGGGTTAGCGACTGCTGGGCAGCTAACCGAGCTACCGGCTGAGCAGCTGAGTCAACGAACACAGCCCCGGTATAAACAGTCATATGAACTGGTGAAACAGACAGAGCGTCTTTTCCACTCACCACAGCCGGCAGTTCTGAAGTCCTATTCTCCAGCTGTGGGGCGACGCGCCGACGGCGCGATCGTCGCTTCCTCCCGGGCAAAACCTCCGGCGGGCCGGGCAAAACCTCCGGCGGGCCGGGCAAAACCTCCGGCGTCCGGCTGAGTTGGGAAGCGGTAGCGGCTGGTGGGTGTAGGTGAAGTTCGTGAGTCTTGCACGAGTGGGTGTAGTGAGTCCAATAGCCAGGGATAATCCGTGAGCAGCTGTTGCAGTCTGGCTTCCAGAACGTGGAGGAATGCTTCTCCCTCGTGCTCTAGCCACAGGTTGATTATTTTTGAAGCGGAGTTCGTGATGAGGTCCCGAAGCTCCGTGGGTGGGGTGAATGCCGCTGGATCCATATCTGGCTGGTCCGTACTGTCACGGCGAGTGAGGTGAGCCGTGTGGAAAATAAAGGAGGATCCAAATGCAGGCAGTCGTGAAGGTGTGAAGGTGGTTTATTGAACATGAAAGTAAATACAAACGGCAAAAGGAGCTAGAACTAAACTATACTGGGATAAACTAAACTACAGAGCACAAACCTTAACGAGAACGACCAGAGGAGAATGATGATGGACAGCAGGGAAACACACAGATGAAGCAGGGTGGAAACACAGACGGACCAGCAACAACAATGACGGAAGACATGACTTAAATACACAGAGAACCACAGGGGAATTACACACAGGTGGTGGACACAGCTGGGAATAATCAACAAGACGAGACAAAGGTAAAACTGAACACACTCACATGAGACCCAGACCTTCACAATAAAACAGGAAATGAGAACACCACACCAAGACGCAGACCTGACACTGAGAGACAGACAGGAAATGACATATGAAACTAAACCCACATCGTAAACCCAGATAAACAGAAACATGGAACTCTAATAATAGAAATCATAATCATCACCATAACATGACAAGAGAACAAGAACACAATCCCTGATGCAAACTTAAATCAAAACACAATAAACTCAAAATACTGGGTCCAACGGACCCAGAACCGAGACATTCAGGTCCCTCTTCTGTGGAACCAGCTTCCAGTTGGGATTGGTGAGGCAGACACTCTCTACTCTACACTTCTCTACTTTGAAGATTAGGCTTCAAACTTTCCCTTTTACTAAAGCATATAGTTAGGGCTGGACCAGGTGACCCTGAATCCTCCCTTATTTATGCTGCAATAGATGTAGGCTGCCGGGGGATTCCCATGATGTGTTGAGTTTTTCCTTTCCAGTCACCTTACTCACTCACTATGTATTAACAGACCTCTCTGCATTCAATCATATCTGTTATTAATCTCTGTCTGTCTTCCACAGCATGTCTTTATCCTGTCTTCCTTCTTTCACCCCAACCGTCTGTGGGGTGAAAGAAGAACCTGAACCTGGTTCTGTCGGAGATTTCTGATTTCTTCCTGTTAAAAGCGAGATTTTCCTTCCCATTGTCACCAAAGGGATTGTTGGGTTTTGTATGTATTATTGCAGGGCAGGGGGTCCAATCTGGAGCCCCTAACCCTAAGGGTACATCTTTCACCATCTTACAATGCTGGGATTGCAGCCATTCCCCAACTCTCTGTGAAGGGTACTCGTGGAATTTGATCAATGGTCATGATTTGCATATTAATGATGAAGAAACTGACCTTACAGCCCATTGTTCATTCCGTGGGCTGTTTTCCGTCAGTGTGCAAATGTACTGTTTACTGAGAAGTCACTTGGAACACTGAAAACGCCACGTCCAGATGAACAGAATCAATTATGTTGGTACAAACAATTCACCACAAAAAAGACTCAATATTCAGGAAAATTCAGAAGTGCTTTAAACTGTGCAGTAAATATTTATGACAAACTCAAAACAATGTAACTTAAAACATATTGCAAAACAGTGCTGGCTCTCATCTCAGTGGGAGAAATTTTCATGGACATGTGCAGCTAGAATTTTACTTTGGAGGAAATGGGCTCAATGCAATTCTTAAGCATGTGTGCAAATGTCCGATGGATGGATGGACCTTTATTAATCCCTCGGCTCGGTTCCTCCGGGAAATTCAGTTTCCAGTAGCACAGCACCGACAGAAGTTGCATGTTGCAGATACGCTAAGGGAAATGAGAGTAAGGATATAAGCACAGGGCCCCACTCCACTGACGACCTGCTGCTGGCCAACACCCTCAACGACTTTTACTGCTGGTTTGATGAGACATCAAGCAGCCTTGACACCTCCACCTTCCCCAACAATAGAGACACTTTGGTCCATCATTCCCCCACCTCCCCACTCCCACCAGCACAGAGCCATCACCACCATCAAAGACTTCACCCACAGGAGCTCCCCCCTCACTCCACAGCTATGAGGATTTCACACCACCTTCTCCCACTACAACCCTTCATAATCTTGAAGCAGATGTGAGGAAGCAGTTTAACCCTTTAGACCTACCACAGAACCAAGTCTGCCTGAGCTTATCGTTATATTTTTACATGTTGTAGTGCCATTTCTGGGAGTATTTCAAGTTGCTATACAGCAATACAACCATTATATCCCAAATGTTTACAGAAGTATTTTTACACAAATTTCTAGTTAAAGTAATTTCAGAGGTTCATCCCTGAAAATTGTAAATGTAAAAAAGTTGCATAAAACAGTTTCCAAATTAATTTTGAGTGTCTTCATAGTTTTATTTTTGAGATACACCAATTTGTATATACTGCAGCCACCAACTTTGAAATTCTCATTTACATGACTTATTTAAACATTCTCGTCTTGAATGCAAAATTCTTAAAAAGATCTTTATCCTTTCAAGAGTAAATAAATCTGAAAGCTGTTCCATCCTAAAAGAGTACAACAATGTGTAGTTTATGATGTTCTAAAGGTTTCAGCAGCTTTTTGAATTTGTCACACGTGTGGAAAGGTATGAGTGAGCCTTTGTATCATACTGTTAGTGATGCTCGTCAGCACACAAACCCAGAGTTTCTCTACAGGAACACACAGAGTTATTCCCTGTACTGTAAGGACACGTTCAGCATTGTGCAGTAAATCCAGATCATCCCAGTTAAATGCTTACATGGATGTGAGTGTGGTCGTCAGAGCAGCACTGATCAGTGTCAGGTTATAATGACCAAGGTGTACACAAACACTAAGTTTGAGTGTGTGCAGTGAGACTTCAGTCAAAGCATTTAACTGAGGTAAAATAAGCTGAACTCTACAGCTTGTTGTGGTCTCCTGTGGCTTGACACGCCTTCCATCTGTTCTCCAGCATTTTCAATTACAGTCATAAAATATCTCCACATGTTGCTCCTCTTTCTCACTCTCTGCAGTCCAAATGCGTCTTCTGAGCGCATCTGAGTCACGTGACGGCACAGTAACAAATCCCAGCAGGGCAGGAAGAAGGGGGCGGAGGCAAAGTGCGTCTGCCGCATAAGAAGAGGTGTTCACCCAGACAGAGCTGCTTTTTCATCCACAGCGAGTAAAGAAGTGAATCTACAGGAGAGAAACAAACTAACGTACCGATCAAAAACCACTACCAACGTCTGGATAAATATCTGCATCGATCCGCCCATCCTTGTCTCCTGGATCGTAGCTGAGAGAAAGAGTTGCAGCTTCATCACGGACTTTCTCTCGGTTTGTGGGCTCATCTAAAGGTAAGCACCGAGCTAACTTCAACACTTGATTTACTAACCCTGCGCAAATTTGCAGAAATCCCCTGGACCCAACACCTACTAGAATTTCTGACTTTTTTATTTTCTGGTGAAAGTCCCGAGGTGTTAATCACCCCTGCTGAGATTTGTACAGGTCATATGCTCGATTCACATCCTGCTTTTGTTGTGCAAAGCACCCATTGTCTTTGAGGCCTGGCACATTTGCTTTTGCACACACATACAAACGCTGCAAATCTGTGTTTATTTGACAGTGTAAGACAAAAGCAGCAAAAATAAAAACTGTTCCAAGAGTACAGTCTTAAAGGCTCACTATACAAACAATCTGGAGACATAAATATGGACACGTGTATTGAAAAATATTGATATATATATATTAGGGCTGCCACGATTAGTCAACTAGTCTCGATTACGTCAACAATCAAATTCGTCAACGACTAATTTAATAGCCCACACGTCGTTTGAAGCTGTGTGTGTGTGTGTGTGTGTGTGTGTGTGTGTGTGTGTGTGTGTGTGTGTGTGTATATATATATATATATATATATATATATATATATATATATATATATATACACATAAAAAAAATAAAAAAAAAACACCCAGCACGCCCCTGTGGGCGGTTTATCCTTCAAGCTCGGGTCCTCTACCAGAGGCCTGGGAGCTTGAGGGTCCTGCGCAGTATCTTAGCTGTTCCCAGGACTGCGCTCTTCTGGACAGAGATCTCTGATGTTGTTCCTGGGATCTGCTGGAGCCACTCGCCTAGCTTGGGAGTCACCGCACCTAGTGCTCCGATTACCACGGGGACCACCGTTACCTTCACCCTCCACATCCTCTCGAGCTCTTCTCTGAGCCCTTGGTATTTCTCCAGCTTCTCGTGTTCCTTCTTCCTGATATTGCTGTCATTCGGAACCGCTACATCGATCACTACGGCCATCTTCTTCTGTTTGTCTACCACCACTATGTCCGGTTGGTTAGCCACCACCATTTTGTCCGTCTGTATCTGGAAGTCCCACAGGATCTTAGCTCGGTCATTCTCCACCACCCTTGGGGGCATCTCCCATTTTGACCTCGGGACTTCCAGGTTATACTCGGCACAGATGTTCCTGTACACTATGCCGGCCACCTGGTTATGGCGTTCCATGTATGCCTTGCCTGCTAGCATCTTGCACCCTGCTGTTATGTGCTGGATTGTCTCTGGGGCATCTTTACAGTGGTGCCTGGTCTTGCCTGGTGTGATAGACCCCAGCCTCTATGGATCTTGTACTCAGAGCTTGTTCTTGTGCTGCCATGATTAGTGCCTCTGTGCTGTCTTTCAGTCCAGCTTTGTCCAGCCACTGGTAAGATTTCTGGATATCAGCCACCTCCTCTATCTGCTGGTGGTACATACCGTGCAGGGGCCTGTCCTTCCATGATGGTTCCTCGTCTCCCTCCTCTTTCTTGGGTTTCTGCTGCCTGAGGTATTCACTGAGCACTCGGTCAGTTGGGGCCATCTTTCCAATGTATTCTTGGATGTTCGTTGTCTCATCCTGGACTGTGGTGCTGACACTCACCAGTCCTCGGCCCCCTTCCTTCTGCTTAGCGTACAGCCTCAGGGTGCTGGACTTGGGGTGAAACCCTCCATGCATGGTAAGGAGCTTTCTTGTCTTTATGCCAGTGGCTTCTATCTCCTCCTTTGGCCAGCCTATTACCCCAGCAGGGTACCTGAGCATGTGTTGATGGCCCGGATCTTGTTCTTACCATTCAGCTGACTCCTCAGGACTTGCCTGACCCTCTGCAGGTACTTGGTGGTTGCAGCTTTTCTAGCGGCCTCTTCATGGTTCCCATTCGCCTGCGGGATCCCCAGGTACTTGTAACTGTCCTCTGTGTCTGCAATGTTGCCTTCTGGTAGTTCAATCCCCTCAGTTCTGACTACCTTCCCTCTCTTTGTTACCATCCGACTACACTTCTCCAGTCCGAACGACATTCCAATGTCATTGCTGTATAGCCTGGTAGTGTGGATCAGTGAATCGATGTCTCGTTCACTCTTGGCATACAGCTTGATGTCATCCATGTACAGGAGGTGGCTGACAACTGCTCCGTTCCGTAGTCGGTATCCGTAGCCAGTCTTGTTAATGATCTCACTGAGGGGGTTCAGGCCTATGCAGAACAGCAGTGGGGACAGAGCATTTCCTTGATAGATCCCGCACTTGATGGTGACTTGTGCTATGGGCTTGGAGTTGGTGTTGTACGCCACATCCCCATTGAGTTCCTGATGAAGGCTCTTAGGGTCCCATTGATCTTGTACAATTCTAGGCATTCCAGTATGCAGCTGTGGGGCATTGAGTCATAGGCCTTCTTGTAATCAATCCAGGCAGTGCACAGGTTGGTCAGTCTGGTCTTGCAGTCTCGGCTGACTGTTCTGTCTACCAGTAGCTGGTGTTTTGCGCCTCTGGTATTTTTGCCAATTCCTTTCTGTGTCCCACTCATGTATTGACCCATGTGCCTGTTCATCTTAGCCGATATGATGCCTGACAGGAGCTTCCATGTAGTACTGAGGCAGGTTATTAGTCGGTAGTTGGAGGGGACCGGTCCCTTCTTGGGGTCCTTGGGGATCAGGACCATCCGACCTTCGGTTAGCCATTCCGGGTGTCTCTCGTTAACTAGCAGCTGGTTCATTTGTGCTGCCAGACGCTTGTGGAGTGCAGTCAGCTTCTTTAGCCAGTAGGCGTGAACCATGTCGGGCCCTGGTGCTGTCCAACTCTTCATACTGGAGACCCTTTCTTGGATATCTGCCACTGTGATGGTTACTGGACCCTGTTCAGGGAGGTCGCTGTGGTCTGCCCTCAGATCCACTAGCCACTGAGCATTGCCGTTATGGGTTGCGTCCTTCTCCCATATGCTCTTCCAGTATTGCTCCGTCTCCAGCCTTGGTGGTGCTGTTCTCTTATTATTGTTCCCTTGCCACTGAGAGTTCTGTGGAGAACAGCTGGTTTATTCTCCTGCCTTCTATCTCTCTGGTGTACCTCCTCAAGCGGCTGGCCAAGGCTGTGAGTCTTTGCTCGGCAGTTTCCAAGGCCTCAGGTATGGACAGCTGGCTGTATTTCTTATGCACCTTCTTTGTCGCACCTTTCTGCAACTCTGTTAGTTGGCTAACCTCCCTCCGTGCTACTTTGATCTTGCCCTCTAGCCTCCTTCTCCATGGAGGGTACTGCCCCTTGTGGCTGTTCAACTTGTAGCCAAGCATCTCACTGATCACTGCTGCCGTATTGTAGATCAGCTTGTTAGTGTCGGTAATCGTGGTTGTAGGTATTGTCCATAGTGCTGCATTAACATCATCTAGCAGACCTTCTGAGGTTACTTCATGTAATCTTGGTAACCAGCTACGGGGGATCCAGGTTTCAAGCTCCTATTTTTCAGGTCAGTTCCTCTCGCACTCAACGATCCTTCTCCTATCGCACTTGGGGCTAATCTCGGGTGGGGGTGATGATATCTCCCCCCTGACCTGGCGTCCTGACTCCTCCTTGCCATAGCATGTGTGTTCTGTTGTACCTCATCAATCTCTAGCTGTGATATCAGTCCCTTCTTTCGAATGTTGGAACACTGAGCTACTAGTTGTTTCGCCTTCATTGTGGATGTTGGGTATCGAAGAATCCATAGGTCCGTCATCCTATTCATGTAGCCCCTTCCGCCGGGGTTACTTGCGTAGTAGCATTCCATCAACGCCCTGTTTTCGTCTCTTGCCCACCGATGCCTTCTTGTTCCAGTAGCCCACTTTTCGTCAGGGTGCCCTGGTTCCTCAACACCTGACGCGGACCTTGTTGATCCGGGCGACGTCCGAGCCGGCATGCCTTCATATTTATCTGTCTCACTCATGTCTGCGGTAGGCTTGCTTAGCATAGGGGATCTAGCCTTAGGACCCTTACTGGATACAGACGCCCCAGGCAGGAATGGAACGTGCAATCCTGGGTTCCAAAGGCGTGTAGTCCACTACGCTATACACACACACACACACTCACTCACTCACTCACTCACTCACTCACTCACTCACTCACTCACTCACTCACACTTGGAATTAAGCACATTTATTTAAAATGAAAAGCATGTTGTATGCAACACATCACAGAATAAATAATTATGAGAAAAAAATGTAAACAGTGACAGTGCAACTCAAGTATTGTTTTCAGTTTATTGTAAACTCTGCCGCTTTGGACAACACAAGGGGCATTAATAAACATCTTTGCTATTTAGTGCACAGTATTTGAATAAACAACATCCACCGACATAGAACTGTGGCAGTCAGTGCAGCTGAGGTAGGTATTAACATCAAGTCTAAGATGACTCACTTAATGGAGAGAAAAAGTGAGTGGCAGGTTTGTTTGTTTTTTTATAAGAAAAGTAGCTTTTCTGCATTATCAGCAGTCAGACTGTTTCTGTTTTCATCTATAATGTGTGACACTGAGCTAAAAAGACTTTCACTTTCCACACTGCTACATGGGGATGAGAGGTATTTACTCGTCTGTTTCTCTGTTTAGAAGTCTCACAAGCACAGTCACAGCTGGGATGACATCAGAGGCTAGTGCGTCGTAGCTGCTCACTTTTTAGTTAGTTCCTCAAAGGGGGCGAGGATGGCAACAGTCGTCTCCGTAAGAGCCCATTGGTGAGCGGTGAGATAGTCAGGGAGTTCGTGCTCAGAAACGCCCAGAACTCGCTTTTGCTCAATGAGGGACTGGAGCATGTAATACGTGCTGTTCCAGCGCGTCTGTACGTCCTGCTGCAGTCTCTTTTTTTGGCTGGTTGACCTGTCCCTGAATGTCCTCGAGGCGGGAGTAGGCTAAGGCGGAATGTTTAAAATGCCCAACTATTTTCCGTTCCACTGCTATAGCATCAGCTATGCTCCTCTGTGCTAATAAGCGTGGGTAAATAAGCGTGGGTAAACTCTTTTACATCATGTGCTAATCTCACTGGGCAGGCGTACAGACACTTTGCAGGCCAAATGTCTCTCACCTTTGCCCTAGAAACAAGTCTAATATTTATCTGTCTGTAAGTGTGTTTGCATTGACCCTCAAAAGACTGAATGCCAACTCTCATGAGCACATTTGCAATGTGTGTATGAAAAGAAGTATAACTACTTATTCAATAAAAGGTCACAAAATACCACTAATAAAAGGCCGGTTAGAATAATGAATTTCCCACAACTCACTGCCTCTGTTTGTATCTCTGTCACTGCAGGACCAACGTGGATCGAGAAGTCAACGCTCTCAGGAGCCCGACAAATTCGTTGAAGAAAGAAGTGGAAGAAAAAAATACAACTGTGACGAGTTTGGGAAAGATTTTACTGTGAAAGCTTCCCTAAAAATGCATCAGGTCATCCACACTGGAGAGAGACCGTTCAGCTGTGACGAGTGTGGAAAGTCTTTTACCCACTCTGGAAGCTTAAAAACACACCAACTCATCCACACTGGAGAGAGACTGTTCAGCTGTGACGAGTGTGGAAAGTCTTTTACCCACTCTCGAAACTTAAAAACACACCAACTGATCCACACTGGAGAGAGACCGTTCAGCTGTGACGAGTGTGGAAAGTCTTTTACCCACTCTCGAAACTTGAAAGCACACCAACTGATCCACACTGGAGAGAGACCGTTCAGCTGTGACGAGTGTGGAAAGTCTTTTACCCAGTCTGGAAACTTGAAAGCACACCAACTCATCCACACTGGAGAGAGACCGTTCAGCTGTGGAGACTGTGGAAAGTCTTTTACCCGCTCTGGAAGCTTAAAAACACACCAACTCATCCACACTGGAGAGAGACTGTTCAGCTGTGAGCAGTGTGGAAAGTCTTTTACCCACGCTGGAAGCTTAAAAACACACCAACTGATCCACACTGGAGAGAGACCGTTCAGCTGTGACGAGTGTGGAAAGTCTTTTACCCACTCTGGAAGCTTAAAAATACACCAACTCATCCACACTGGAGAGAGACCGTTCAGCTGTGATGAGTGTGGAAAGTCTTTTACCCACTCTGGAAACTTAAAAACACACCAACTCATCCACACTGGAGAGAGACCGTTCAGCTGTGACGAGTGTGGAAAGTCTTTTACCCACTCTGGAAGCTTAAAAACACACCAACTCATCCACAGTGGAGTTAAAGCGTACAGCTGTGATCAGTGTGGCAGAGCTTTTACTCGCAGTAGCAGCTTACAGAGCCATCTAGTTACCCACTCTGGAATTAAGGCATACAGCTGTGACATTTGTGGAAAAACCTTCAGCCAGATAGGGAGCCGAAATACACACCTACGCATTCACACCAGACATGATGTGTACTGCTGTGAGCAGTGTGGCAAACAGTTTGCTACAAACACAGAGTTACGATGTCACATGTTTACCCACTCTGAGGAGAGACCTTATAAATGTGACCTGTGTGAGAAGACTTTTAAATCTCCACGTTACCTGAAAGCACACCAAAAGATCCACACTAGAAAGACTCTACAAGTGCAGCTACTGTGAGGTATGTATTTTTGTTTTTATGTTGTCAGCCCGACTGTTTGAAACAACTCTGCTCATCAAATTGTGTTAGCATGTTAGCATGGAAAGGCAGCTCTGAGTGATTATTCAGACTCTGATCACAGGTTTTTAGGGATAGTGTTGTATTACTGTTATTGTAGCATTAAACTATTAATTTAATGTTTTTACTCTTATTGTTTTTATAGCACATTAAATTGAGCTGAGTGTGACAATGTAAACAGTAAAATGTAATTGGACTTTGGCAGAGATGCTCTTTATCTCAGGCGACGTTCAGGATAAAAATGTTGACGGACTGACTTACACTGTCTTTGTGTCTTTGTTTAGAAGCAGAGCAACACAGATGGATCAAGTTCTCAACCCTGTCATCGCTGCGGGAAAGACTTTTGTTGTGACCTTTGTGGAAAAACTTGAAGTCATTGAAGGACTCTGAAAATATATCAACGTAGACACACTGGAGACGAAATGAACTACTGTAAAGAAAGCACTTCAAAGCACTTCAAACAATATGAAGTCATTCACAGTGGCGTTAAAAAGCATGTCTGCGATCAGTGTGGGTCATCCTTCATCCGTGCACGTCAGCTTGAAAAGCATAAACGAGTCCACACATGAGAGAAACCATACAAGTGCAGACACTGTGACAAAACCTTTTCCCAATCATGTGATCATACTAAGCATGAACGCAGACACATGAAAGAGAACTTCATCTGTGAAAGAGTTTGAGTAATCTCAGTTCATACTCCACTCACAAACGATTCCATGTTACAAATAAACTGTTACGTCTTGATTCCCGCTTTTACGTTAATCTTGTAAACAGTACATTTGCATAACGACTGAAACCGGCCCAATGAGTGAACAATGGGCTGTGAGGTCAGTTTCTTCATCATTAATATGCAAATTCTTATGGCCATTGATCAACAACCACTGATCAATGGCCATGAGTACCATTCACAGAGTAAAAATTTGCATAATGATTATGAAGGAACTGTTTTACTGTTACCAATGTTCAAAAACGTTTACTAAATTATCTCCTCTGTGCAAACATCAGCGTGATGCAGGACTGAAATCACTCCCATCTCTGGATCAAAGTGAATCTGCAGAGACAGAAAGATCCTCTTCTGGTTTCAGGGTCAGACTTAAACCCTTGAGATCAGGCTCCACAGAGTTCAGGTGGAGTCTTCTGTAAAGATCTGATGAGGCACCTATGAATGAAAATGTGCCTCTCGTTACATTTTAAGCTTTCTAAACTGTTCTACTGTAGTGTTTGTGTTGAGTGGTTAGCTTTGTTCCAGCAGTTTGATTAAGAAATCTGTTTCCTGTTAAATTTTTATTGAATGCATTGATCCAGGTGTTCTGCAGTTTTTTTTTCAGCTTGTTTGTGTAATGAAATCCTGCAACAGTTAAACCAAAATTTTACATGTTAAATAAAGAAATGGTTTACTGACAAAGAGTTTGAGCCGTGATGTCATTTCCTGTATATCAGAGCAACACCTGAAGTGACCAGTGTTTAAAGTCAGTCAAATTTTGTGTCAGCATGACCTTGTGAAAACTGCTTGGCGATGCTTCACTATGTTATCTGCTCACTGTTGGGGCGTAGAAGGACGAAACTCCCAGGGTGACCAGTGCCAGGAGCTTCCTGATGCAGAGAGTTGAGTGTGGGGGATATAAAGGAGAAGCTGAGGCATCTCAAGGTTAAAGCTGGCATAACTGAACTTTAATGTTTGATGTGTGTTTTGGTTCTCCTGCGTACAGTAATTAATAGCTTGAACACAGCAGAGCTTGATATAAAGACCTTACAACTGAATTGAATTAAATTGGTTATTTAGTAGGTCTAAAGGGATAAACTGCGTCCTCACATCTGCTTCATGAATATGAAGGGTTGTAGTGGGAGAAGGTGGTGTGAAATCCTCATAGGTGTGAAGTGAGAAGGGGGCTCCTGTGGGTGAAGTCTTTGATAGCGTCGATGGCTCTGTTGTGGGGGGAGTGGGGAAGGTGGGAGGATGAGTGACCAAAGTGTCTCTATTGAGGTGTGAAAGCTGCTCGATGTCTCATCAAACCGGCAGTAAAAGTCATTGAGGGTGTTGGCCAACAGCAAGTCGTCAGTGGAGTGGGGCTGTGTGCTTCCTGAAGTGAAAATCTGGCATTTAAAGATGAATGGGGAAAAACTCGCTCACAGCTGACTAATGAACATTTGCATGCATGCTTAAGAACTGCATTGACCACATTTCACCCAAGGTTTAAAATTCTGCCTGAAAATGTCAGAGGTCTGTGTCCATATTTTCTCCAGCATACGGGGGATTCCTATCATAATAAATCTTTTGGTAAGAGGTGATAAAGAACCTAATCAAAATTTCCATCCAAATTCCCTCCATCTTTGTGAGGTAGTGCATTTCAATTGTTGTTTATGTTATGCACACTCCTCCCTCCTTCTCCCATCTTATTTGTAAAAAATGTATACAAACAGGAAATGTGTTTTTTGTTGACGTCACCACTATATGCCTTTTTGAGCATTGCTATCAAATCTACATTAGTGTCCGACACCACTCTAATTGTCCTCTTTATATAGTGTCTTATTAACAAGTATCGGCATAAATCCTGTCTTTCCAGATTGTATTTTTGTTTCAATGTATCAACACTAATTAAATTTCCATCTTTAATCAAGCTATCAAATGTAGGCAATCCTTTAGCAGACCAACTTTTGAGACATGAGTCCAATTTTTGGGGGGTAATGTCTGAGACATAAGCATACCATTTAAATAATACCAAGTCTTGTTCTAGTTTGAATCCAAATATATATATTGTTAATTAAATGTTAAATAAAAATATAAAAAGTTGCATTTCCTGCGAAAATGCAGTGTAGTGGAATCTGATGAAAACGGCAGGAAAATCTCCCTTTTAACAGGAAAGCAGAACTCTCAAATAACCAGGAAGGGGCGGCCATCTGTCACAACTGGTTGGGGTGAGAGAAGGAAGACAGGAGAAAAGACAGACAGAGATTAATAACAAGTATGATTCAATGCAGAGAGGTCTATTAACAGTGTTGGGAAGGTTACTTTTAAAATGTATTCCACTACAGATTACAGAACTTTGTTGTCTGGGTCAAGTTTGCTAGCCAGAGACAGAGAGAGGCGTTGAAAGGCTCCAACGGAGCTTATTGTTTGGGAGGAAAACACGAACACAGTGTACAGTCGAGTCTTAATAGCGTACTTACAACTGGGCTTTTGGCTGCAGTGATTATTATTGTATTTACATGCTTCCAGCTCGCGTTTCTGCTCTATGACAACTTGTACTTTTCTCCTTTTTCTCCCTCCTCGCTCACAGACACATCACGGGTATGGCAGTCCATTCTCCCTGCAGCACGGACTGCACTGCCCATGAGGCTGCATTCTTTAGAGCTATGCTTGTAACACTCTCTTATTGCCTTCATATTATTTTTAAAAATATTTCTTCACTTCATATGAGATGCGAGATTGAGACACGGGCATTGTATTTTTTCACAGCCCGGTTAAAGGCTTTGGCTGAATTTACACTTCACACATTTTAATATCAAACTTAGTGTTTGTGTACACCTTGGTCATTATAACCTGACACTGATCAGTGCTGCTCTGACGATCACACTCACATCCATGTAATCATTTAACTGGGCTGATCTGGAGTTACTGCACAATGCTGAATGTGTCCTTACAGTACAGGGAATAACTCTCTCTGTGTTCCTGTAGAGAAACTCTGGGTTTGTGTGCTGACGAGCATCACTCACAGTAAGATACAAAGACTCACTCATACATTTCCACACGTGTGACAAATTCAAAAAGCTGCTGAAACCTTTAGAACATCATAAACTACACATTGTTGTCCTCTTTTAGGATGGAAAAGCTTTCAGATTTATTTAGTCTTAAAAGGTAAACCTTGTTTTGCATTTAGGAGAATGTTTGAATAAGTCACACACACGGGAATTACAAAGTCTGAGGCACACCATTAACCTCAAATTTCACTAAACCTAACACTGAAACAATCTTCTGTATGTTGATGTGTGAATGTTATTGCAGTGTCAACTCCTCACGCTGAGTGTTCAGAGGCGAGTCCTCTCATTGTTCCTCAGTAACACAGTTTTCATCAAACAGAGCAGAAATGAACAGACATGAGCGTCTCTTTTCTCGGCTCTGTGTGCACAGCGAGGGACTTCTCTCTGCTGAATTTGTGACAAAGTGTTAGTGTGTTTAGTTTTTCAGTTGGGTTTTATTTCAATCATAACAACAGTCTCCTTCAAGTGCTTTACATGGTAAGGTAGACCCTACAACAGGGATCCCCAATCCCCTGACTCTGGTCCAAATCTGGACCCCAAGAAGGTTTTGTCTGGACAGCCAAACATTTTTTCATTTAGTTTGTAGTTGGAGATTTTACTTTCACTTCATCACTTAAATCACTTAAATCACTGCTGCTGTTATTGTGTATTGTGTATTTTGTTGTACAGTTATTTTATTTTCAATTTAATTTATATATTTTATCTTATTATTCAGTTGTCCAAGCATTTCACTACATATCGTACTGTGTATGACTGTGTACGTGACAAATAAAAATTTGAATTTGAATTTATTCCTTCCTGTAATCTTGTTTTCTAATTCAAACGTGCTTTTACCATTAAAGACCGCCCCCCCTTTTTTTTAAAACCCGTGTGTATATTTATAGCATCCTCCTTATGCATTTCATGCATGTGTTATTTTCAGACATATGGGGTTATGTCACCCCCCCCCCCTCCTCCTCATCAGTAATGATCTAGTCCGGTATTTACTTGGGCGTGAGCCAATTAACCAATACCTACCTATTATATGTCAGCTGACCTATCTATGAAGTTTTGACTGGTTAATTTGGAATCTTTTTTCTGTTTCCTGTCTTGTATTTAAGCAATTTTTACAATGTTTTACTATGACCCTGATGAAGGCCACAAGCCGAAACGCGTTGGTCAATTATTAAAGTTGTTCATCTTCCCTCAAGTGTTGCTGGAGTTCCTGCTTTTTGAATTCTTTCATCCTCTCCATGCACCTTGGAAACAGGTGAAGTTGTGCCAGAAAAGTTTTGCGGAGATTTTATTCCTGCCATCTGTGGGCAACTCTTGAACAGGCGTGACGCAGCCTGTAAAATAAATAAATAAAAATAAACATTTAAAAAAGTGATAAGCAGATTGAAATATACATGAATGCAGGTGATGATCAGTGCATGGGACCGATGCAGTGAACACAGTATAGGTCATGCGTTTGTGGTGGGAACAGTCTTATGGTTATTGTTCATGTGTCCAACAGCAGAGGGGAAGAAACTGTTCTTATGGCGAGAGGTTCTGGTGCGAATGGACCGGAGCCTCCTG